GAAGTTGCACTGGCTGCTTGTGAAGTATCACAGAGATTTAAAAATTGTATTACTAACTTATAAAGCTTATATATCTTGCTGATCCTTTAACACCCTTCATGACTACTAAACATTATGATATTTTCAGTATGGTCTGATAGTTGATCCTAAAACTCGCTTTTTGGTATTATTCCTTCAGCTGACATTAGGAAGGAAAAGTCACTTGCTATTTTTTTAACATTTTGACTTAAAACCTTCTTGTTTATGGGATCACTTTTAATTAATCTGTCTTCTATTATCTGTTTGTATCTTGTATCGTATGTTGTTTTGATTTCTAAGTAAAGCGCTATGATAAAGTCACTTTTAAAGGTCCTTTAAAATTTTTGTAATTTTGGATGAATGGACGGATAGATTCTATTATTATAGACAGACAGATAGTTGGATGAATGGATGGATAGATAGAAAGATTATTAGATATATTAGAGATATATTATGACAGACAGACAGACAGACAGACAGACAGACAGACAGACAGATAGACAGATAGATAGATAGATAGATAGATAGATAGATAGATAGATAGATAGATAGATAGATAGATAGATGGATGGATGGATGGATGGATGGATGGATGGATGGATGGATGGATGGATGGATGGATTATTTCATATCTTGTAGATATATTATAGATAGATGGACGGACGGACTGACGGACGGACAGACAGACAGATAGACAGATAGATAGATAGATAGATAGATAGATAGATAGATAGATAGATAGATAGATAGATAGATAGATAGATAGATACATTATTATAGATGGATGAATGGATGGATAGATAATTTCATTTATTAAAGATTTATTATTATTGATAGATAGATGGATGGGTGGATGGATGGATTATTTCATAAATTGTATAGATAGATAGATAGATAGATAGATAGATAGATAGATAGATAGATAGATAGATAGATAGATAGATAGATAGATAGATAGATAGATAGATTGATAGATATATGGATAGATAGATAGATAGATAAATAATATTATTATTGTTATTATATGTTATTATATTATATTAATAACACAAAAAGCTCTCAAACTGAAAGTGTGAACACATGTGACCTATACAGTCTTCTCCACCCCCTCCTGTCCACCCCACACACCCCACCCCACCCCCATCCGTACATTCCCTGCTTCAGCAAAACAGCTGTTAAAGACCTGTGTGTTTATGCAGATTGGTCTACATATAGGCCTACAGTGTGTACTTGTGCGTGCATATTTATGTTTCTAAGTGAACGTGTTTACATCAGTGTCTGTATTTTGGGTATTTTTAAAGTGTGTCCAACTGTCTCCATGTGTTTATATATGCGTATTTGTTTGTGTGTATTTTTGTTTCTTATTTAGATATATAATTTATTTACTGTGTTTGAGAAACTGCTTGTGTGTATGCATTTTGTCTGTGTGAATATGTTTATGTTCATAGACTGTGCGTATGTGTGTGTGCGTGCGCGTGTGCGTATGTGTGTGTGCGCGTGTGTCCAGTCGCCATGTTTCTCCTCGTCATTCCTGAAAGCTGAAACAGACTCAGTTGCGGCGGGCAGATGAGAGGGAATCACCCCGTCACCCCTCATCCACACCTCCATCCTCCTCTTCATCTTCACCCCATCATCTTCTTCATCCTCTGACGGACTTCATCCCGTGGGCAGGACATACTTTTTGAGGAATTATACATGGGGAAAAGACTGTGGAAAACTAAGCCACACTCAATCGGTGCCTTTGGAGAACTTCGCTAAACTCACTTTTCGAGGATATTAACGTATTTTATCCACCTCTTCCACACAGATATCCTACAAATATCACACTTGGGGGCGTGTCATGTTATTTCCGATGGTTTTGGTGTGAATTCTCTTTGAGGACGAGCTAAAATCGTTAGCCTGCTAGCCGAACGTCTTTATTAGCTGGATCATTAGCACCAGTAATTTTAACCAGTTAAAGTTGATCAAACTGAAGGCATTTCAAAGTTGAAATACTTGACATGGTTTGGCACTCGCGTGTGTTATTATAAATACACGATTTTTTGTGTTTATATTTGAGAAAAACACTTCAGATGCATTGTGTCGAGAGAATGTTGTTAGCGCGTTAGCTCGAGTGGCTAGATAAAGGCACTTAAATATTTGTAAATTTATATTTGCGGAAGGCAAGATATCATTTACATTTTCACCCAAAAGTGCGAGAAGTTTTTAGGATAAATGACTTAATTTGCTATTTTCCAATTTATTGCCTGGTATGTTGATCTTTCACTGAGTACATTAGAAAATGTAACGTTAATATTAGTGAGAAGTTTTATTTGTGTATGAAATTACAAATATTTACTTGACTGCAGTCTTGAGACTGCATTTTACTGTGATGATGGGAGGGTTATGTTTATAGCCCTCTGCACACCCCTTCAAAGAGTATTCACATCTACTTTTTTTAAAGAATAGTACACTACATTTTTGGACTGACTAGTTTTGAACCATGTCTGGGGAAGTGCGTTTGAAAAAGCTGGAAAAACTGATCCTGGATGGTCCTGTCCAGGCTAATGGACAGTGTTTTAGTGTGGAAAGTCTTCTGGATGTTCTCATCTGCATTTATGATGAGTGCACCAACTCCCCACTGAGAAGAGAGAAAAATGTTGCTGAGTTTTTGGAATGGGGTGAGTATGGTGTTTTAAATGTGCATATATCTTAAAATCAATGCATGTCTAATATTAAGGGTGCCCAAACTCGGTCCTGGAGGGCCTGTGTCCTACATGGTTTAGCTCCAACGTCTTTCAGCAAACCTGTCTGGAAGTTTCTAGTATAGCTAGAAACAGCATGATTAGCTGGTTCTGATGTGTTTAATTAGGGCTGGAACTAAAATATGCAGGGCAACAGCCTTCCAGGATTGAGTTTGGGCACCCCTGTCTTATATCAACCATGACAATGTCAAGCACACTATTTTGAAGCAATGCATTCCATGCTAAACCTCCAATATTTCAATGCAATTCACTTGTAATTATATTACAGTTTTTCTCCATTGGTTTGGCTCATTTCTTGAAACAGAAATTACATTCTCAAAACAACAAGGACAAACCTTTAAATTACTTGCCAATTGTTCACAACAGAATTGAATTTCTCATTCATTTAATCAAATTGCAAATGTCTAAGTACATCTTTGCAAATGGTTAAGTAAAGATAGCCTACATTTAGCACACTTTCCAAGTGAAAAGATCTTGTTAATCTAAACTGATTGTTAATTTTCAGTCTAATGGTTCTTCTCTCCAAAAATTGTCAGCGTCATTTCATAGTAAATGTCATTACATGCACAATAGCCTGTTCAATTGTCAAAATTTGTCAAGACCATAATACCATGAATACCATACAGTAGGTGAATCCTTGGAACATTTGAATACAATTTATTACAACTATTTATTCTTTTTGCTCTGATATATGGAAAGTACTTTGTGTGTGATTGATCATTAAATAAAAAGGAGTTACCATTTCCTTGGCAGCATGAGTGCAATGTGTGACGTCAAACCTTGGAGACTCACATCAAGTCCTATTTCTTGTTTTCAGTTTTCTACACAATTGTTTTCTGTTAGCTAGACAAAAACAGTAAAGTAACCATTGTCAATGAAGGACTGGGCTAAGACTATAAGGTGGACATGAGGGATATTTTAGTGGTCCTTTGCCATAATGACAAAACATCTAAACATTTTGACTCGCAGTGCTTACACAATACTAAAGGGACGAAGCATTTTGGGGGCACTGACTGTTTAAATGAGAAGGAAATTTAGTTTTGGTATGAGTGAACTGTTTTGGGAAGGGTATGCGCTTTTGCAAGTGAGCTATTCACCTTATTCTCCGCCGACGAGCGGGCGCTGCCATTTGAATCTTTTTGGCTTGAGACTTCCGGTCTCATTCACTTCCATTCATTTTTTGACGTTAACAACTGCTTGTTACGCTGCTTGATGTTGCAATTTGATATTGTCTTATTATATTATTCTACTTGGTCTGTATTGTCATGCAAACATTTGTTTGTAGAGCAAGTAGTTTGACCGTTTTCTGCCGTTTATTAGTCCTAGTCATTTCTCCCATAGGCGACTGAATCGTAAATTCTATGACAATCGCGAAAACAGTCGCACTTCCGCATTTTAGAATAAGGTCAATAGTGTTGTGCTAAACTGTAACAGTTTTGCCAAATGATCTTAGAATTTTGAGAATCTAATTTCTCTTTCAAGAAAAGAGTCAAACCAGTGGAGAAAAACTGTAAATGCATGTTATTTATGTTTGAAGCATCCTAAGTCATTGCATTCATAGATTCAATTTGCTTTAGTGTAGTTGATTAGATATTAAAGCCCCTGAATAATTCCAGCATTATGGATGTGACATTTGCAGTAAAAATCTCAAAACATAAATTCACATAGAAAGTATATGTTAACATTATATTGAAACATCAGTTTATATTTTCCAGAACAACTGACCACAGAGTTAAGGGACCAGAAAAATGTCAATCTGTAGACATGTTTTGTACTTTAAATGAGGAAAATAAACATGCGTTATGGATGTGACAAAAAAAAAGACTGCGGGTTTACAGTTTACCACATACTTTGTAGAAATTCTGTGAATTAAACTGCACAATCCAAAAGAAACAATAATAAGCAAAAGGATAAGAGTTGGCTCTTTATAAAACAACAATGATTGTGATTATTTTATTTAATATTTTTACATTTATGAGGAAAAAATGTCGTTATGGATGTGACGGATGTGAAATTGCCACTTGTCTGACTTTGTTAAATCCAATAGAGTTTGAAAACATTGACCAATGCATTGTTGAGTATTTCTAAAGTACTGTAAAATACTTGCTCATCCAAAAAACCCAGAAACGGTTTCCGTATTTTAGTGAAAACGTAATTTTTTTCATGGCAAGGTTTACATTTGCACGGAATTGCTCCCCTATAAATAAGGAAGTTCATGCAGAAAACATATTTAAGCCATATTTGGCAGGCCTAAATCATAGGTGTGTGTGTGTGTGTGTGTGCAGCCCTGGAAAAGTCAAGTAGCAACATGCTGTTAAATTCTGAGCCATCATACCGGCAGGCTGAGCTGTATATCATAGAGCACACAATTGAAGAGTACAACACTTTATTGGACTTTTACTTGTTTAGTGTCAAATGATTTTAGTTTAATACTAGAGATGGGTGTGTTTTATGTCTTAAAGTGTTTGTTGAAAAGAAATCAGCTCTATGGCAGAGTGTTCTGACAATGAAGATTGCATTATTCAGTCTTGGTAATTGATCAAACCGGTTCCCTATAGGAAAGACTAGTGCATGAATAAGGCGGGAAAAAAGACCTCTGGGCCATATGGTGTCATTTTCTATATGAATAACACTGCTGATCATATGAAATATGAATTCTCCTCTTTTTGTGTTATATACAAAGCATTTCTTCAACATGACGTGGATGTTTGTGGGGGTTAAAGTTGTAAATGCTTTAATAATAACTCTTGGGAAGTATTGTGAGGGTGCAGTCATGTGAGTTAAGTGTGGCTAAACATACACAGTGTGGTGGGTAAATTGTCAGAATGGGTTTAGTCACGGGCCTCCTGACCCAGCTTAACTAATGAAAATGACTTTAAACTTGTTACGTTTCTGAGTTAAGCAGGAAGTGAATGGAGCGCTACATTACATTCTAGCGTGAATGAACATAGTGTGCCGTTTGTTTGTTTATTTTGTGGCGTGACTTGCAGCTAGCCTGAATGATCTGAATTGTAAACATTCCTTCCTTGGAAACAGAAGTCATCATGCACACAGTATAGACTGAGCAAGTGTGGACCAGCTTGAGAATAATAAACACTCTACAACAAAGGTTCCCAGACAAATCACATGCCTATAACCCCCAAAATATTAATGCCAGTGACTCGCAACCCCCATTATCCTTGTAAAGTAGTTATAATTATACAAATATTGCATGCAACGGCATGCACACACCACAGTGTATTGACTACACAAGATAATTAAAGTCTAACAACCATTAGATTTTATTTTAGAGTAATTTAAGGCTGCAACTACTGATTATTTTAATAATCGACTAAGCTGCCAATTTTTTTCGATTAATCGATGAATCAGATTGAAAAAAATCAACAAAAGCATTAATTTCTAACCCTTTATTCAAAAACAGAGCTCTTTAGAATGTGCACAAACATGTTGTCCTTGAACATCCCTGAGCTGTTTTAATAATAATAATAATAATAATTAAATAAATAAAAACAAACCTGGTAGTTTTGGCCTATCCAATCCAAATATCTAAAATCTAAATCAAGATACATACTAGACACATGAAATAGCATAAGAAATGATTGTTTGCTTAAAACAAGCAAAATTATTTGCCAATGGGTTAAGATAAATAATCTTAATGAGATATAATCTCAAACAGAAGTTTTAAGGATCATTTAATTTCTCATGCCATTTTTCATGTCTAGTAATCTTGATTTAAGATTTGTAGATATTTGGGCAGGAAATGAGATGAAATGACTAGGTAAGAAAAGCCTTTTTGCAGTGTAGCTATACATAACAACAGATGGATAAATTAATAATCCAAAAAAGGGGAGTAAATAAAAGCGTGTCTTTAGTCTTGCAATGCAAAGTAACTGTACCATTGCACTGCTGCTTTACTTCTGTTATTAACCCTTTCACTGGTGAGTTTAAAAGATTCTATCTGGAACCAGGAGTGAGTTTTGTTAGGTGATCATTATTTTAGAACGTTCACCCCTAATGTTTCCATGGCAACGCGTTATGTTTGTCAAGTGACACACCGCAGCCACAGTAGCGCCGTATGACGGGTATATCCCTTTTATTATGCTTTTCCGTTTTAATACAAAATATTCACACGCTTGCTCATCATGTCATCAACTACCTGATACTCAAATTTACATTAACGTGTAAGTGAGTGTTTTTGTTGTTTAAAAGACGTATAAAGGATCTTGATTGAACTTTATTGTTACTTTCACTGTTATGTGTATCTGATGTGAATAATACACATTAGCAAATTATATTTGAATGGATTGTTGGACTTCTATAGACTTTCTTGTGTGTTTTACAAACTCTAAATGTTTTGTTTTACTAGTACTTGTGTGTATTTACATGTCCAAAACATAAAATAAGCATTGGGTGGTTAAAAACACTGCGTAATTGTGATAATATGACGCGTCTTTTTCTGGCTCGGCGCCAGCCAACGCACCAAAGTCTAGTTGGATTTTTTTTCACGTCATGCTTGTTAAGCTGGATAACGAGTAAACACCAGCACCAGGGACATAACACTCCTCACATCAAAACGGAACAAAAGTAGGATTCTGTAGTGATTTACCCTGCTGTTGCTTCCTTCATCCTCATCAAAGACTCCAACATGTTTGCGTTTCAGGTGCGGGATCATTGCCATAGTGCTCCCGTCATCACTTTTGCATATTTGGCTGTTAACGCACTTTTTTTGTTGTTGTTGTTTATTTAGTGTGAAATGCTCCCACACAGGGTCGCATAGATTTCTCTGCCTTTACCATGTAAAATTGTCTGTTTTTATTCCTTTTTCTGGGAAAGTTTAGCATGATGTTATTGCGTTGTCATTAATTTGTCGCTAATGGCTTATTTTCATGCTTTTTTATGCAACTATTAACTATTTT